CAAAGTCTGATTCTGCATTACATATAATGATCCTACTTAATGTTTCTACTACAATGCATTGAAAATCAGTTTCAAGACCAGGATAAGTATTACTTATTTATTGACTGATTCTCATCACAGAGGATCTCTTCAAATTATTTAATATATACTATTATTTTTCCATGTAAAGTGGCAGAAAATAAGATTTATTGAATTAAATGGAATATATTTCAGAAAAGATGTGTTTTGGCTTTTTCATTGTTACACTATTATCCTTTTAAATTCTCAAACTGTGTTAATCTTAAGAAATCTTACCCGAATAAAACACAGAATACTTTACCGCTAATTACTTTAAATCTTTCTGTTACATGTTATCTGAATAAACTGTAGCTGAAATATTGGCTTTATCTGCGTAAAAGTGTGTTTCTGCTGACAGTGCAGTTATACCACTGACTTTTCCCAAAGTTAGTCCTCAATTGATCCTCAGATGAACCTAATACAGCAATCTTTCCAGAAATGATAAAATAAGTGTCTTCCTTCTGACAGGAAAATACTTTATAAGTTAAATATGAATACTGTATGCCTGTAAGGTGATTACTTCACTTCATTTTCATGCATGGCAAAGCAGGACTATTAGGTTGACCACAAAAGAAACTTTTGTTCTTTCAGAAAAAGAAGAAACCATTTTTCATTTTAAATGTATTCCATTAATTTATTCATGATGAACAAACTACTTGATTACATGAACATTGTTTTCTGGAAAGAATATTACCAAATATCATTTTTGGTTTACACAGGAAATTTAAGGTTCTCATGAAGTCTGCCCACTAGAAGAAAATGTGACCACATACCAGTAGTCTGTTCACCACAACTTGTTTTTCCCTTGTTATTTTTCTGGTTTCTTCACCCATAAGCCAAAGCCTCATAGTCTGAAACTCAAAAGTTCTTTTTTAATTTACCTAATTTAAAAAGGAGGAAATATCAAATCCAAGTATTGTGTTTTGTTTGCAAAAACTAGGAGAGGTCCAGTGAAAGGACATTGCAGCTGCCCCTACCCCCAATTCCCACCTCATTCTTGAGGACAAGTGAATGCATTTCCCTTTTTCTTCCTGTCTTCCTGTACTCATCTACTATATATCCAAGAAAACTAATGGCTTACTGTTGGATAAAGAGAGAAATCCCATCCTAAATTCAAAGGCAATTTTGAAACATTTCCAGGTTTCATCTTCCTCGCCATATTTGTATGTTTTATACAAATATTCCTGCAAATACAGATACTACGTGAATAAAAAGGATAGAAGACACAAACTCCAGGATTTTCACATGGTGAAACTGTTGTTTCACTAGCAATGCTGCTGAATTTAGAAAATACCAGCAGCTGATGAGTTATAAATACTAATTTTGGATGTCTACCACCATTAATTTAAATGGAATCTCTTCTTAGTTATTTTTCAAAATTACAACCCTGGCTCTCCTTGTATGCTTTTCTTTCCTTGTTCTGACCCAAGTAACAGGAGTAGCTACCTTTATAGTAAATCTTTGTCCAACAGTGGAACATTTTACATTACCTGATTAATTTGTAATGATGATAAACTATTATCTAACATGCTGTTTAACAATCTGCTGATCTTATCAGCATCATCTCATCTGATCATTACCCAAATCACTACCCAAATGTTCATTACCTCCAAATACAAGTTTAGGACCCGTGTTTGTTGCTTTTGAAGGCAAATTGTTGATAGAAGCAAAGTATAGGCCTTTGAAATATTTGCAGTGTTCTAGGTAGCATTTCACCCTTGTAGTCTTTGAGCACACTTGCAAGAAGCAAGCCCATATCTGCAAAGGGGAGAGTGACTTAAGTGTGTATATGAGTTCTGAATGGATTTCTGCAGCAGTCACTAGAGGTCGCACCTCTCACAGTTTTAGAGCTGCATGCAAACAACTGAAAATTCAGGGAGAGATGGAAGACCATGGAGAAAATTGAATTGAGTAGGTAATGCCCAGAGAAGTTCTTCTTTTTTCTTAAATAATTATCCATTCATTTGAGCAAATTAAACTATTTTCGGTTTGTAACTGTTTACTTATGGATCCTGAATAACTTGTTTGTTTCTTGGTTCACATTCTTTTTTAAATCTCAGGGAAATATAAATACAACATATATAGTATTCTTGCAGTATCTTAGCTACTATGAAAACACAGTTCTCCTATTAAGTCTGGATCTTTGATTGCAAGCAAGCATAATCTGAAACTGTAATCCTATCCCAACTTAATTGCTGGGGATATGGTTCCCCAAGGTGATTTCTCATTAGTGATAGAGACTGTTGCCTAAACATCACTGTAATCAATCAGCACAGCAATTTTAGAGGATGTTGGTTAGGTACCAATGCAAGTCAGTGTATATAAGACAACAGTAGATAAAAACTTTGCCTTGCAAATGTAGATTCTGGGGTTTGATTTCTGACTGCCAATTTGGACATCCTTCAGAATCAATCAATAAGCAAGTATAAAATAACCTTCCCATTCCACTGTAAGTGTAGGAACAAGAGAGAAATCAGAAGAAATTGGTTTATTTCAGCCTTCCTATTGGATAGATGATTGAATTTATTAGCATGCAATGAGATGATGCATATACACACTTAAATATTTTCATTGGATACATTTAATCCTATAGGATATGATTTGTTTTATTTTTGCTTGCGAGAGGGTGCAGAGGGGGAAGAACCCCCACAACTATTTGGCAACCTTTCAGCAACTCTGAAACCAAATCTATCTAGAGACCAGTCTTGCTAGCTAGACTACAGAAGAGCAGAGGTGCTCTGAAGAAAACATAGTAGTCCATTGCCCAAGGTGGGTCGTTTGTCAAAAACTGATTACCTTTCCTTCTCTCAGTTCACTGGGCTGTAGAATGTCTGAAGATCCCTTGCAAAAAGTGATGTTTCTAGGGAACCTTCAGTGAAATCAGACAGATCTTCTTTTTCAGAGTCCAATGCTACAAAGGAAGCCTTTCAAGAGATATGCATGCCATGGTGGGAAAAGGGAAAGTTGGGCAAAACCTAGGACATAACGCAGTGTACTTTAAAAAAAAATGAATACAGACTGCTGTGTGTTCTGACATTCCCCTCTCCCTATCAGAATAGAGCCATTAAGCAAGAGGGAAATAAGCAGCCCTTTTCACAAGTAGTGTCAGAAGGCAAAGGGAGAAAATACTCATGAAGATGAAGCTGTCCCAGAGGGCTTGCTGACACTTTCAGAAAGGTCTTAGAAATATAAATCTTGAGGGAAGACTAGGCCAGATGAACATTTTTGTTTTCTGTTTCATTTTCTGCAAAGTGTTGCTGTTGTTCACAAGAGAGATTGGAAAAGGTAATTCTGCATCCTCCAACCCAGTGCCCTCTGGTGCATAACTTTTTAATTCAAACCCAGTTGGAATACACCAGAATGGGGTATGATAATGAGAGAAATAGCATCTCTCGAGATAGTGCCAGAAATGAAGAGCAAGACCAAATTGACTCCCACACTTCTGAACTTACCTTTTTTTTAAAAAAAAAAAATCCCCTTCTTCCATTTGACTTAACACTACAAACTAATTAAGACACATATTTAAGTCATATATTTTATTTAGCTTTGAGGCTGCCTCAGCCACTGCCTTGAAAATGAAGCCACGAGACAAGATCATAAACTGATATGATCTTGAATACTGTAACACCAAAGTTACAGTAGATGTAACTATGTTTGGAAAAATAGCATCCATCATTGTCACTACAATGTTCCTGGGCCTCTGCATATTTCTGAGTAAGAGCAAAACACCATCCAGCCAAAATTAAGCCAGCGAGATTTATGATGCATAAATGAAAATATACTATTGAAATCAGTGACAGGCACAAAGCTATAAACACTTCCATGTGACAAAGTTGAACTTATTTCTCAGTGAAAATGCTGAGGTTGCACTGCTCAGCAGCACTCAGTTATGTGTGTTGTGACTTGTGGGCTTGTTTGTTGTACAATATTAATTTCGAATCTTTTTGTGACCTTTAACCAGTTATCCTCCCTCCTTAGGGATGTGAGATAGATTGGATGATCCTTGCCTTCCTCCAGCCTCAAGGTAAAAATCTTGACAAGAATCTTCCCTTTAGGACATTTATTCCGACATTCTAATATTGTAGTTCAAGAAAAGCCCACCTACGACCCACATCTCCTATGTGTCTGTCCATCTTTCTTTCTTTCTCTCTCTCTCTTTTCCTTTTGACTGGCTGCAGTGTGTAACTGTTTTGGACATCAGTATACCACTAGGAGCTTCCTCATTTCAATAGCTCTCTCTGCAAAAGGATCAGCAGGCACTTGCTGGAACCCAGCTGGGCCTCACCAGTGCTCCATTGCATCGGGAGCAGTAGAAGCTAATCAGCCACACATCCTATAATTGGTTGTGGGGCACAGTTAGGCTTCCCGGACCCCGAATGACACACCAGCTAGCCTAGAGGAAAGCGGATAGACTAATACATAAGGAAGAGGTTAAGCTTTCCTTAATCAAATTTCGTCTTGATCGTTTCTAAGCTTTTGATGAACAAAGAAAGGCCGAGAAAAGCTTTTCCTTCGCGGACCATACCGCGAATTCCATTTTTTCAAAGGACTGCAGTTCGTAGGCTTTCTTCCACGGATTTCACCAGGCTCACGCAGCACAATCGTAAGCGTACTTAACTGGCAGGCAAGACTCCTGAAAACCTGCCCCTGTTCCTACACTTCCTCCACGCCAAAGCCCCACCGCTACACTTGCTTCAGTGCATTCATAGGATCGCTTTGCGCGGCAAAGAGACCCCGCACTCCTAAGGTGTCTTTACCTGACACAGCAACCGCACGGAACGTAACAGCGATCCGGCGCCATGCAGAAGCCTAAATAAATACCGTTAACAGTGACCCTTCGCTGCAAGAGCCTAAACCTTCATTTATAAGACCACAGCGTCCGCTGGGATAGCGAGGCGTCGAGCCCCGCTTCAAGAGAAGCGCTTGGAGAAAGGCGCACTTACTTCTTCCCTGTCGTCGGACTCTGGAAGGGTGCTCCTGGCCGCCAACGTATTCCATTAAGTTCCAAGTGATAAAGAACCAAGAAACCAGTCGCAATTGCATAGTAACCCTGTAAAAAGTTCTCGCCTAGTGTCCTTTGGGGAGGAGGAGGAGGAGGAGGAGACGTGGGGAGGGGGAAGAGAGTGCGGAAGAGCAGCAGAAATACCTGTCTCTGAGAAACGGCTCCCGATCTTCTTCTTTAAAAGACAAAAAAAAGGGGAGGGGGGGGAAAGCGGGGGGGGGGGGTTGCAAACTCCGGCCGAGGACGATCGATTAGTGCACTTTCCGATTGCCCCGACGATTATCTCCTCCTGACAGTCTCGTCGGAAGGATGGCGAGGAACGGCAGCAGCCCTGATAGGGGAGCGATTGACCCGATCGACCTCAGGACGGAGACCATTCTGCCGAAGGAAGAGGACGGGGTGGGGAGGGGGAGCGGGAAGCGAGGGAGGGGGGGTGTCTAATAAAAAGGTGTGAGGGGGAGAACCAGGCTTGTTCGGGGTTCACGCTCTGCTCCGGCTACGGGACGGCCGTCCCCTTCGGGAACTCCATGGGCAGGTGTGCTCCTCGCCTCGCCTCGCGCTCCGGCGCTCAAGCCCGTCGAAGGACTCCCGGGGAGAATCCCACATGGGGGGGAAGGAAGGAAGGGGGAGGAAGAAAGGCTTTGGGGCAGGTGAGGCGAGCGCCTCAAAAAGCTCCTTCAGCCCCGAGCGCGTCCTCGGGCTGTCCCGAGGGTAGCTGCTTCTGACATCCCGACTCGTCGCAGCATCTCCGGCAGGGAAAGGCAGCCGCGCTGAATAAGCAGATTTAGCCCCGTGGAGGCGCGCTTTGCCCCTGGACGGAGGCGGCCCCGTTAGAAAAACGGCTCCATTCCAGCGGCACCGAAGTCAGGCCAAAAGTCGGTGACCCCGCTCCACCCTTCCTCTCCGAAAGGGCCGGTTGTGTGAGGCTCCGCTAGGAAGGATAGCTGTCTCCGCCGCGCTGCTGGTCACGGCCAAGTCAGCGCTTCTTGTCCTCTCTTCCCTCCCCGGCTGCCCAGGGCCATTTTTGAAGCCCGCATGAAATGTGGAAAGCCGACTCCAATAGGACGCGCGGCAGCTTGGGCGAGGAACTTCCAATCGGCGGCCGGCGGGCGGGCGGCTCTGCTTCCCGCCGGAGAAGGGAGGGGCGCTGGGCGAGGAGGGGAAAAAAAGGGGGGGAGGCGAGAGCGAGCGTGACCGGGAGCCTCGCGCTCGCCCTTGCGGTTCCTTCTGCCTGGCAAATTGGCTTTGGCGGGAGGGAGACTCCAAAGTGGTGGCTCCGCAGAGCGGCCCGAGCCACGTTTTTGTCCCTTTTGCAATGCACTGTTCATTGAGGGAAAGCGTAAGCACCAGGGTTGTTGTTGTTGTTGTTTTCCTGAGGCCAGCAAACAGGGAAGCTGTAGCGTGTTTTAGAGACGCCTTTGTCCTGCACAACATTAAAAGGAATTAAAGGAGTAAGGAAACAGAAACATAGGTTTGATATAGCAAATAAGGCCCCTGGTCTTTTTTGTTCCACGTTATCTCCTTTGCTATATGATCGGGATCTCTCCAGAATATCTAAGAGAGAGAAATCATTCCCAGCCGTATCTGGAGTTTGAAAATACCAAGGAAGTCGAAGCTGCGTCAGCTAGAGGATAACTTAGAATAGTTGGTTTCTTTTCCTAGATTAGGGAGAATAAGCTGAACCCGTTGCAAAGAATTTCTGGCAGCAGAACAGATAGTAACATAAAGTAACAGGGGTAATGGGTACTTTTCTCTGCAAATATAAAAGTAAGCGGCCATTAATTTGTTCTAATGACTTTGTGACTTACTGAAAGTCACACTCCCTCCTAATATAGAAAAAAAACACGATTTTGCAAAAACAGTTTAAATTATATAGTCTTGATAACTGTAGAGATGCGGCTCCTGTTTTATTCTAGCAGCTTTTATTCTGTGCCGCCATCTTACTTATTATAATATGTTTGAAAAACAGCTCAGTGAAACTCAAAAACTAGCTGCTACGCTGTGATTTTAATGGGGCTTTTTGAATTTTCAAATGGACCTTTTGGCCTGAGAAGATTCATTCCAAACTCTCCTTTCAATGAATGTTGAAACCAAATCTTAGAGGTGCTGAATCAAACCAGATTGAATTGAAAATGATTCAATAGACTTTTGGGGTTTATAGAGCCTCAAATATTGTTGCAATTTTCCTTTCCTGTATGAACAAAGTTAGCGAGTATTCTGAGTTGTGTGCTGGTCTGCCTGATATTGAACTAAGTTTGTGGTCAATAAGTCTTATTACTTCCACAAATCCTGCCTTTCCATCTTTGTGAAATATTTTTGTCTCTCACTGTTCTGATAGAATTTGTTAGGCAGGTTTGCTTGAGCAGGGAGAAGCCAGAGTTAGATTTATTCTGCTGTTCTTTGTGATCTGGTTTACTTCTTCTGCTGTGATTCTCTAATTCTCCCTCCATTCACAACCTGTTAACCTTATGATCCTTAACTTTAAGTTGGTCTGACATAATATAGTCCCACTCTACTTACAGTTCTTCAGCTCTTTCAGTTTTTTCTATTATTACATCCTTCCCCAATGGTAAAAACACTGTTTTTAATTACCTTTTTAAACCATTTAGTTGAAGCATTTTTGTGATTCAAAATACTTTATATACAACTTTCCTGCTTTTCTCAGTTTGTTACAAAGAACGTGTAGAAAGTGAAGCCACAGGTTTAATTTCATATTGCTCCTAAATAGGTCCTAAATAGCTGGCCCCTGAGTGAAATTATCTACCTATCAGAATTTTGCTAAGGTAGCAAATATTGCTTGGGGCTTCATTTCTTTCTTTTTAGTTTCTTAAAATGACCAAACACAAGCATTATCTTGGCTTTCTTTGTGCTGATAAAAGACTACACTTTTATGCTTGTCCTGCAAACACAAGTAAAAGTTCAGCCCTGAAAATGGGACCAAGGCTGACCAGTCTAATTTCTGGTCGGTTCATTCGATTTATGATCTGACTTTCTTCTGAAGCACAAGATGACCTATGTCAACATTTCTTTTTATTTTATTTTATTTTCTATCTATAACAGCAGCTCTGTAAGGGTGGCCCACATGAGAGAGACCAGTCCAAAATCATTCACTGAACTTCTAAGGCTACGATGGACTTTCAGCCATCTGTCACCATGAGGTTTACTTGGTCCAATATTATTATCACCATTCTGTCACAGATGGGGCAGGCTTAAATGTTCTGATATGGAAGCCATCTGATTACAGGCTCTAGGTTAAACAGTTAACTGTTTCTGAAACTGTGGATTCTATGAATGTCACTTTCTCCACGGCATTGTATTGTATGATGGCATCCTTTTTTTTTTTTTGCTAATAAGCGTACAACATTGCGAGCAAGTCACAATCCTAACTCAGTTGCCAAGCTTTGCAAATGTATTTTACAACCAACCAAAACCAATAAGTGAGGCATTAAGCCATTATTTGAGGCAACAAAGCTGTATTTGTCCATCAACAAGTCTTTAGGCATTCTTCAATACCATGGCATGTTTGGAGAACTAAGTGAGAAATAAAAAAAAGACTACTGTAATTTTTTCATTATTTTTAAATTGGAGTAGAATACTTTCTGCAGTCGTGCAAAACTATTTATGGGGATTTTATTTAATTATCTGGAGTGGATCCTCTTTTCTAATTCTTGGTATCTCTGCCTTAAAGGAGTTATTGTTTTAAACATTATTTCAGTGACACTCTTTCTGGACAAAATTTTGCAGGGTTAATGCCATCTACCAGTTTTATCCCACCCCATGGGCGGGGGCTGAGACACACATTTTGCCTCTTTTTCCATCTTAGTCTAAGATCCAAATAGGCTATTCTATCAGTAGAATATATCGGTTCAAATATACTCTTGTCTTTAGACCAAATTTTCTCTGAATCTTGACACTTTGGAATCAAAAATCCACATTCAAATGGACTTGTGTAATTGTTATATCTTTAATTTTTAGGTAGTTTGAAATTTTTTAATGTCATCTGCATATAAATTCATATTCATAAATCACTATTATAGACTTCTGATACCATCACAACATCTCCATGTTAAAAAAAATGTAGAAACAGAATTTCAGCTTGGGAATCAAACATAAAGCACCTAGAATGCCAAAGTATAAGTAACTGAAATACTGTCAGTCTTTTCAGCTGAAAAGTTTGCTTATAGGAAGTTTAAGTTTGGGACAACAGATTTTAAAAAGAAAGCAAATATAAAATATTTTCATGCGGTATATAGTTAAGTTACAACAGGGCTGAAAAATAATAACTTGGTCATGAAATTACATTTTAATTTCTGAATTCTTAACTTAAACCAAAGGGTAATATTTTCATTAATATCCTGCACGTTATTACAAACTTCTACAATAGAGGATGGAAGAACTATACATCTTAGCAACTCTATTTAATATTTTGTGGAAAATATTGGAGGAAAAGCTTGTAGTATAAAGTACATGTTAGCAAAAACTGGTTCTAAAACACTTTCTGATCCTAAGTGCATTTATTTGGAAGTAAAACTTACTGAGGTAGAAATTGTATTATGCTGAATTTTTTTAAAAGAAAAAGCTAATGATTAGCTTAAGCTTGGTTTATTTAAATATAATTGAGTCACATCTGTCCCCCCCACACACACATAGAGTAGGCTGCATTTTATTTGCAGTCCAGATTGTCCAGAAATGAGGGTTTTAATTGTCCCCATCTTTCTTAATGAGGATATTTCATCTAACTAATTTCATTTTCATGGATAGTGTAATTTATGCATTTTAAAGAAATGAATTAAAATCACATTTATAGGTGGTTTCATCCTTCATTAGAAATGTACGTTCTCGTAAAACAAAGACAGTGTCTGAAAACTAGAAAAAAGAATCTCTGCCTGCCTCATTAAATATTCAGATTTAATTTAGTTAATGTAACAGATTCAGAACAGTCACCAAAAGTAGAAGATTGCTTTATAAATCAATCACATTACTGTTTCTAATCCCTAATTGATTGATTTAGAAGTTACACTGATTTTAACCCTTTTCCTTA